CATACGATCAGGGGCCGTATCAGCATGGACCCGGACAGCCTGCTTTTCATGGTGACTCAATGGGTGAGTTTTCTTACAAAAATTCTGTAGAGAGTAATGTTGTTTGTCTTTTTATCCTTTAATCTGTCTATCTACCTCCTTATAATCTGTGGTTTGAAATTTAGCCTCACTCAAACTTTTGAATATTTGAAAATATCTGAAAATGTATAGAAACCCTAAATAAGTTCCATATGGGCTGATTAATTTGCTGTTCATTCCACGAAGATTTAATAAAATATATATTTTATTTCATTTTATAGGACGAAAGGACGACATAAGCTTATTTATAGATCCTACATATTACCATATCCATACTTATATATTTTACACTTAGGTCATATTTAAATTACTTACCATATCAATATTATAATAAATTTTATATCTTTTATGGTTATATTTGTACTTTGAATAGACAACAAATAAACAATTTCCACTTCCAAATGCAACATCACTACTGCCAATAACAATATTAGCAAATAGCTAGTAGACTTATTTTCAACATCAGCTGAAATATTTGTTGTTCCGTTTATTCAAAGATGATTAATAATCCAGCCTGTGTATGCAAAATCTCACCTCTACATAATTATTAGCACCTGCAGGCAGCCCTGGTTATCACGGTGATGTTCCTCCTTCTTACTATGACAACGAAGAATTTGCCGGATCTGGCTTTGAGGACAAAAACATCCGACAAGCCTTCATCAGAAAAGTGAGTCAAATATTTCACGGAAATAACCCCCCCCCAAAAAAAAAACAACAACTGCACACTTCAGCTCCTAAATTTCATCTTTTTATTTTCCCATCAGGTCTTTTCTGTTCTCACAGTGCAGCTCATGGTCACCTGCGGTTTTGTTTCCGTCTTCACGTTTGTCGATGATGCTAAGTTGTTTGTGCAACGCAACCGGTGGACGTATTATGTGTCCTACGCAGTCTTCTTCGTGTCTCTGATCACCATCAGCTGCTGTGGGGATTTCCGCCGCAAGCACCCCTGGAACTTGGTTGCTTTGGTAAAGTCATCGCCTGAAATTTCAACGAGATGAATAAACAAATCCATGACCTCTGACACTTAAATGGAATCTTCAAAAACTTTTGTTTTTGTGTTGTTGTTTTAGTCCATCTTGACATTGAGCATGTCCTACATGGTGGGCATGATCGCCAGCTTCTACAACACAGAGACGGTCATCATAGCCGTTGGCATTACGACGGTGGTCTGCTTCACTGTTGTTCTCTTCTCACTGCAGGTCAGCACTTATCATTTTGTTTCCTATTTGTGCTATAATTAGAACAAAAGTTTACATTTTCTTTGATTAGTTTTCACTCCAATCAAAGTTTTACAAATTAGGAATATTTGGGGGGTTTATTTTTCTAAATGTTCTTTTTTTTTCTTATCACAGAGCAAGTATGACTTCACTTCCTGTCGGGGCGTTCTCTTTGTGTGCCTGATTGTGCTGCTGGTCTTTTCGATTCTCTGCATCTTCATCCGCAACAAGATCTTGGACTTGGTTTACGCCTCCCTGGGGGCTCTGCTGTTCACCTGCGTAAGTTTAGGCCAACATAAAATGATAATGCCATAAGTTTAAGCTTCTTTTGGGACTCTTGTGCAACATAGCTGGTTCAAATTTGGGAAATAAATATAGAGGTAACAGGATATTTTATGAGTAGATCTTTGCCAGGTAATTTTTCTAATTTAGCTCCATTTGAATTATGGTTGTATAATGTTTGCTTAAATTAAAACAGCTCTTGAACTTGCTGTGCATTCAACTCTTCCTCTGAATGAAGGGCATAGTATTGGTGATATCTCTATTTACATAAAAGAAGAGATGTGGTCAAACAGAAAGGGGCAATACTTTATGAATCTCTTGAGCTTTTCTTATTTGTCTTGTTAAAAAACCTCCAATGTACCTTTTTTTTTTGTGAAAAACCAACACTGTAATTGTGATGCTGAATCGTTTTGCACGTAAAAACGTACACTTTCGTGCATTTAGACTTAATCCCACAGATAGATAGATGGATAAGTTCACATAGTCCTCTTCCCCGGTGATTGTTTTTAATGTTTTCAGAAAAACATTAAAAAGTGTTTTTTTGTTTTGTTTTTTAAAGATCACAGGGGAACAGCTGGAAAATTATCAGCAGAAGTCCAAGTGCTCTCCCTGGGATTAGGTTTCTCTGCTTGCAAAGCCAAGCGTATTTATCCTCCCGACTGGGGCCAGATTCAAATAGTTTTCCTTCATCTTTAAACTAAGAGCTTTATTTTATATTGTGACAATTGTTTCTTAGCTTAATCTTCACAGTAGTCCTGTGTGCAAAGATGAGTGTTTTGGTTTTCACCAGCAGACTGATAGGATTGCCTTGCTTTGACTCTGAATTGTAAACTGCTATAAAATGCATAAAGAAACAGGGTATCTGTGAAACAAGACCTTATCCATAAATGTACCAGGTTTTCATCTAGAAGAAGCTTGTGTTTTAACAGTTTTTGCTTTGTCCTTTCCCCTCTCTGTTTCTTGGATGCGTCATAAAACTCGAAAAACTGTCAAGGACTTTAGAAAATGCAAAAGATTAGATTCTAACACAAAATTTAAATGGTGCCTGAAGAATATCTCTGCGCACCGTGTTTCTCTAAAGAACCAAAACATCTTAATAGATATTTTAGAGTTTCTCATCTCTCATTCCTTTTGAAAAGAACAAAACTAACATCTTTATTTGCCTTTTTGCAGTTTTTGGCTGTTGACACCCAGCTTCTTTTGGGCAACAAGCAGCTTGCTCTCAGTCCAGAGGAGTACATCTTTGCCTCACTCAACCTTTACACTGACATCATCAACATTTTCCTCTACATCCTGGCCATCGTGGGGCGCTCTCGTGAATGAACCTGCACCTTCAGGGGAGCAGCATCAAGATGGAGAATGCCTCTCTTTGTTGTAAAACGTTGCTTACCTGTGCTTTTCTCTCTGTCTCATCTGACTTCTCCTCAACTGTTCCCTGCACCTACCTGTCACTTGAATTCACACAACGTTCTGTTTTCAAATGAAGAGTTTGTCATAAAATTCAACTGAGTGAGGACCCTTTTTATTTCCTCTAATAAATTTCGCTGCAAATGGAAAAACCCCACAATGACACTTCATCTTTCCTCTTCTACTAACACATTCAGCTGTGTCTCAATCACCCAGCTGCCTACTTCCAGTAGGACAGGCCACATAGAGCGTCACACATGCTGGGCCGCGGGTGCTTGGCACTTAGCTTCGTCTTGCTGCAGAGCTTAAACTGAGAAAAGAGGGGAAACTAATACTACTGATGCAGAACCAGCTTTGCCTGAATATAGAAGACAGTTTTAGAAATAATTCTTACTCCAATCAGCCTGTTTTCATAAACTTGTCACCTTTCTTTCAGCCTGTGTGATTAAATTGTGCATGGCTAAATCGGAAATACACGCAAAGATGCAGTGTGATGTCAGGAGTCAGTGGAGGAGAGCCTCTGTCTTGCTTGTCACAGCTATAAATAGTGCAGTGTTTTACTGTTTATGATACCAGTATACTCCTCCTCCACCCACTACCACCACCCTTTTCCTACCTCTGATAGGCATGCTGGAGCGTATGTATAGAAGTGTTGCTACAGGGGCGGGGGATATAATGCTCAGTGACTAACATTCTTGAAGAAAATTAGCATAAACCTTTACATTATTTTGTAAATGGTGGTCAAATTATAAAAAAACAACCTTTTGCTGAAAAAGAATGTATGTAATGAGACAAAAAAAAAGTTTGTGTGCAATCTCTGTATTTGCACTTGTCTTTTTCTCCTTGTGTTGGTAAATTCCTTTTAAGTGAATTTTGATTTGTCTCACTGCTGATTATTAAATCTGATACTGGTAAAACTTTGAAGTAAATTCATACGAGAAATGAAGGAACTTAGAACCGATCTGAGGTCCTTAAAGGTTTTGTAAACTCTCCAGTAATGTGAACTGAGCAGAGAAAATGCACTAATAGCCAAATAATCTAATTGAAACATGCAACAAATTTGAAGGGTGTGTAAGTTAATTTTTTGTTTTGTTTTGTTTTATTTATACCTACTGCATGATCCTGTCCACATTCGCACGTGCTGACAATTTACAGTGCAGCTGTTCTTGTTTTGAAAGAGACACTTATTTAAAGACCTTGTTAGATTATTGTTTCTTTTCGTTTTAATGTTTGTGTCAGATTAACATGTATGTGTACATAGGGCAACTCGGTGTTTTGATGTGTATAAAGTAGGTAAATCAGGCTACCTGGGTCTGTTTGCATTGTATATTTGCATCAAAATGAAGGTGAACTGAAATTCCTGAACACAGCTGTCTGCTTTCCATTAAAATAGATACAATGGGAATGTGTTGAGTGTTCATTAAGGGTTAGGTTTTATTTGTCTACCTGGATTTTACTTTGCTTTTTAACCTCTGGGCATTAGCTGGTCTTTCAAGTGTGCAAATGTAAACAACTGTCCAGCATGCACAGCTATCACAGCACATATGGGAGTAACAGAATTGTAAAAAAAAAAAAAAAGCATATTTTTTAAACAAAAGTTACCACATCAGAAAAACACGACCACAGTTACTGTACTGGTGTATACTAGTCCACTGAATTAAATTTGAATATTATTTTAAGTTTTTCAGTCATTTAACTAAAAATGTATGCTTAGTTGTTAATTTTGATGATTGTATTTTAAGAGTAATAAAAACACAAAATTCATATTCTAAGAAAATGCCAATGTTAGATCAATGAAAAGGCTTAAAACATAATAAAAGTATCCATAATTCTGTAATGTATGCTAATAACGAGACAGGCCGACTAAATTTCCTTTTTTATTGCAATGAACAATCATTTGAAGTGTATTATTTTTTGTGAGATGAATATGTACAATATATCAATTCGCTCTTATGCATTAATTGACTGCAATAAATGACGTTTTCAAACATATTCAGACGTCTTGATATGAACGCACGTGCAGGGACACATTTAGACCGTTAACTCGGAGACCGAGTGAGAACGACTGTTAGCTACCGAGAGACAGGCCTAGCTGAATAAACATGAGCAAACAAGGCGGTAGGACTCGGTTAATTAATGGAATATTTTTACTCTGTGGTCGTTTCCAGATTACTAAACGATTTTTAACACTGCAGAAATATTTCCGGGATGAATTGTGTCATTTAGCCCGAACTAAGCTAACGGTTTTCTTCTGGTTGGTTAAAATTCAACGGTTATATTACAAAAACAATGTTTATTTGTTCAGTAATTTATATGGACGTTAAAGAAAAAAATAAATATGCATTCAGTTTAATTTAGGACTTGAACCGCTTAGAGGTTTACCTTTGATGCTAATATGAGAACATAATGCTACTTGGCGACTTTGACGTCTTAAGCATTTGGAAGAAAGTTATAGAAAATTCAAAGATTTTCTTGACTCTTACCTTTGATGTTTTACATGTTAATTACAAGATGCAACACTTGGAACATTATCATTGTCCCACCATAAAAACAATGTAAAAACATAAGAATATGCAGGTGAAGTTTAAATGTACCATGAACAACTTAATTTGTAAAATTGGCAGGTGGAGATTTGCCGGAGCCCAAAATAGAACAGCTCATGGTCAAGCTGAGGATGCTTCAACAAGGTATATTTTGTAAGGTTTTATTTTTCCACATAATGTACGTTTCAAAATGCAACTAGAATTAATTTAGGAAACGTTTTTCATTGATACAGCAACGTCATCAGTTTTAAATATTATTTTGCGCAACAGCGACATCTGTTGGACAAAATATACATTTGTTAAACGTTAATAGTTATTAATTTACATTTTAAATGTATACACCGATTGGCACCTACGGTTATTTTTTAAATGTTTTTAACACGTACATTTATTTAAGTCAGTGTAGCATTTCCCTTGTCTTTATTTGCCTTTAATGCGAAATGACGCGCATGCGTACTGGTTTATAATGTCTTGTTTAATTTGTGTTAGTGTTTTGTAAAATTTGGATTAATCATTATTTAATTTTGTTGATCTGATCAGTGGATATTTTTCACACAAATTGAAACTGAAAGCTGGCCGTGTTAGTGTTAGTGGTGGGGGAACCATCTTGACGTATTGCCTGATCTTTGCTGAGCGACACATCCGGTAGTTTAATTTCATTTCTTTCAACCAAATCAAACGTTTAAATCACAAAGTAAGGGCCTTGGATGTATCTGAAAGAGTGGGCGCCTTGTTTAACCAGGAAGTGCTCTCATTCTTCGTTGTAATTTTGTAGAAATATTTCTTAAGATTTGTACCAATGAGGATCCACGTTGCGATGACGATGCGGAAACGAAGTCGCGTTCCCATATCAAATTGAGAAGAAATAAAGCTAATATCACTAAAATACGTAAAAACGTACAACTTTTAGACCTCAGTGACGTTCAGGGAGTATTCACCTACACATATGAACTAAATAAAAAAGTAAACAAAGATTTCATTCAACCGTGAGTGAGGTAGGTCTTCGCATACAATATTAAGATTCGCATGCCACTGACCCGTTATTATCAGTGAGGTATATCCTTACCTGTTACTCCATCCGTGGAGTTTCAGAGCATGATGAATGGAGGTTCATGAGATATGATTAATATCTCCCTCTTGTAGGAACTGCAACACCCTACTTGAGCCATTCTGATTCTCAATCTGTCCATAACAAAGTCTAATACAGTGCTTCTCAATTATTTTCCGTTACGCCCCCCATATCAAGAAGAAAACTATTCGCGCCCCCCACTCCCCACCGTGACTATCCATGTCTACTGCAGGCAGTATCAGCTCCTCTGCTATGGTGTGGGGTTTTTTGCACTGCGCAATTTGGTACGCCACCTTATATGATGCTAGCAGCGCTCGATGGTTTACTGAAATAGCCTTCACAAAGCGGGATGACTGTTGGCAATATTCAGCACGTTTTCGCTGAAAAAACTCTAGCGGCTTATCGGCGTGATTGGGATGTAACGTATTTAAGTGACGCGCTAATTTATTTGGCTTCATGCTGTCCGCTGCGAGCATTTTTAGACACAGCAAACACACCGGTCTTTCCTCTTCTCCAACTGTAGTCACAGTGAAGCCAAGCGCTAAATACGCTTCGTCGTATTTCCTCTTCTTAGCTTTCGGTTGACTTTCTGTTGTCTCATTATCTTTGTCTCTCTCCGCTTTTCTTTTCATCCCTGTGAAAAACTTTTTCATGTTGGGGGTTGTTGAATAACGGAGGCCATAGACAGAACGCAGTCTGAGCTTTTTGTTGACTTAACACTGCTAACCAAGGCAAACCTGTTGTCTTGTAAGTCGTAAAATGTTGCACTGTCGCAAACGTGACAGACGTAACAATGAGAGCGCCACTGCCGCCTACTGTGCGCAATTACACTTTATACTAGTTCGGCCAAAAAAAAGCCTGTTCCCCAGGATCACACGCGCCCCCCCAGGTATCGCACCGCGCCCCCCAAAGGGGGCCCGCCCCACTATTTGAGAAGCACTGGTCTAATAGAACGTTCTCACGTGTGCATCTTCTTTAAACAGAGAAGAGACAACTTGAGGAGGAAGTCAAAGGTGTCCAGTCTGTGCAAGACAATTTGCAAAAAGAGCTTGCAGATTGTAAGATATACTAAACCATTCTTGAATATACTTTGGGAGTGATTAGTTCTTTTAACATGCTGAGGTGTACATACCAGCATTAAAGGTTTACCCTTACTGTTACTGAATTACAATAAAGTTGTGTTTTGATCATACATAATCTAATGTATTGTTCTTGTGCATTAGTACAAACTGAAGCTAATGAACTGGAAGGAATCCATAAAGATAAGAAAGGTGCACACTAGAATAACAATTTTGATGTGTGTTTGTTGTAATCCTGCTGTCTACTATTTAACTCATTGCCTGAAACTATATGGTAATCTTTAGTAAACATTTATATTTTAACAGCATATTGTGTTTTTTGTTTGTTTTTGTCAGATACATCCAGCAAGCTACAGTTGCAATGTGAAGACTCTGAGCAGGACTTGAACAGGTAGAATATTTTTTAAAAGTATGCCAATATGGATCACTGTGTATGTCGCATTTCTACCAGTAGATGGCAGGAATTCACCATGTAGTGCCAAAACAAATTACGAGTTATTTCTTGGTTTGGGTCATTATCTTTCTGATGGACAACCAGTCCGGCCTCCTTCATTGCTTACATTTTTCTTAACCATCTGATAGCAAAATGCTGGAATTTCCTGCTGTCCAGCATTGTCCAAAGACACATCAATGGGTGCTGTGACGCACTTTGTTTCAACTCTTCCCTTTGAAGACGGATGGTTTGTAGGAATTGTTGCAGGAATGCTGCAAGACAAAGGCACCAAGGCGGCATGATGGTATTACCTGTCACCTTCCCTCAAGAAGGTCTGAGGATGGAAACTGAGCCGTGCAGATCTGTGAAGTTGGCATGTTTTTCCCTGTGCTTGTGAATTTCCTTTGGCCACCTCAGCTTCCTCTCATTGTTAAAAATATCCATGTTGGGTTAATTAGATATTCTAATTTGACCTGAAGAATGTGTCTCTAATGTTAAACCTGTGACGGACTGGTCATCTGTTACCTATTTACTGCCTGGATAATGTACTGGTTTTGGAAAGTCGTATTTATGAAACATGTTCAACTAATTTCAGAACAATTTTACCTTTTTTTTTTTCCCAAAAGCTTTTATCCAAATCAACACATGGTGACTGAAAGAGAAGTAATACTTTAGAATGCTTTATGATTTCATTAAAATAGTGAATTTAATATCTTAATTGTGCTGAAATGTGTTTTGCAGGCAGTTGAAGCAGAACAAGATGAGTGAGGAATTGCTGGAACAATACAAATATAAAATCGAGGAAGTGAAGCTGAATCACAGGAAATTGCGGTAGCTTGTCATAATGTGATAATTAATTCCATTCAGAAAATTGACTAAAAGTATTACCATAATAACTCAAGAAAGCAATCTGGTTTCAACAGAATGAGATTTGAAAACCAACTTATGCAACTGATAGAGCAGCACAAGCAACTCGACTATGTCTTTGTAAGTTTTCCTAATTTTCTCCCTCTGTTTATTGAAAACAGTGAATAACTGAAACTAAAAAGTGTTATTTAGAATCCAAAGAGACTCCCAGATGAGTTGAAGAAAGCTGAAGACATAAAACATCAGCTGTCATCAGCTGGTAAGTGTTCTGTTGAGTTCTTCCCACGGTCATCTGTGAGCACAGTGATTTTTTTTGTATGCAAGCATATTGTGTTTGATCTGTTGTGTGGTTGTGACAGAACAAGTGAAGTTGGCTCAGCTGCACAAACTGGACGAAGAGTTAGAGACGAAGAAACAGAAGCAGCTTGAGACTGAAGACGCGCAGATTGATGAGTAAACCTAGTTTTGGGGATTTAGAGTGACCAGTTGTTTGTGATGTTGTGAGCTTGGTCTCTTGCTCAGGGACGAGGCTCAATGGAAATATTACATTTCCTTTATGTAATTGTTAAGATTTCCTGAGTGAGATAGTCTCAAACACTCAACTTACATGTTTTTCACTGTCTGAGATACTTGCCTTTTAAGTACTTAATGGACTCATTCTGAGATTTAACCATATTTATTGTCTAAATTGTTCACAACCTTTATGCGGTTTTAACTTTAAATCTGAAAAATGTTGAACTTTTTGATATGTATTAGCATATTCTATTCTGATGTTGTAGCCACACAAGTGTTCCATATAAAAATGTAACAGCTGCAACTTTGTGACCTTTCTGCATCAACAAAAAAAGAAATTCAAAAGCCCGTAATTACAAAATTTAATGTAGATAGACCTCCTTATGTACACACAACCACAACTTAAATGAGTTTAAAATATTTAATCAAATCCTTTTTTTTGTTGCATATTTTAAAAACAGTGTAACACTATTAAATGCTTAAAAACAAAGAGCACAATTACCCTGTGCAACTGGTTTGCACTCAGTGATGTCAATAATATTTAACAAAAATGAGCCTTGTGCAGTGCATACATTTACAAAGCCAAACATGAACAAAGCTTTTTATATATATAAATATGTACAGTACAACAGTGAATCAAAAACCATGTAAACTTTAAATCATCCCTCAGGAGTAAATCCAAACTAGACACATTCCATAAAAACACAAAATAGTTTGATGCCTTCTTAAAGTGTCACGCCCACACCTCAGTTTTCTTTTCAATTGTGGTCAGACTAACAAAATAGCCAGGGCTTAGGGTGTGGGCCTTAGAAGTAAAGTGAGTTATATAAGCTGGCATGGCTTTGCTCCAGAACTGTGCAATACACCCAAATGTATTTCACTTGGTTTCCTATAGAAGTAATGCCTGATTGAGACCCTCTACCCCCCGAAATAAACAACATGCTAACAAAGCTTTTTTTTACAGTGACTCAGGGCAACTGTAAATTATTTACATTTTTATTTACATACAGCACGCATACATTAGTCAAGTACTTTGACCGAAATCCCCTCCCTGAATGGTTATTTGACATCTTTAGCCCTGAACAGTGGGTCCACACCTTAATGGAAAGGTAGACTTTGCTACAGCTTTATCAAAACACACACTTGCTAATGCAGTTTGAGCTTATAAAACCCCACATTTGCACACCTCATTCTCTTTATTCCAACAGTACTTCCCACAACTTCATTCTCAGTACTACCCACATCTTTATCTCTTTGGGATTGCATTGACTCTCCTACCTTAGTAATGGCCTCAATGAGCCATTGGCACACAATAAAACCACAAGGACACTCTTTCTCATGTTTATCTACAAACTAGTCCCAGGCACACAAACATTTCCATGAACTCACAACACTGGTACTGCATACTCACTGCAGAATACTGCGGTGCTTTTTTAAAAACTGGCATGTATCTGTTTTCTTTGTCTGGTAAAACATGTGCAGTCTCTTTATTTTCATCTTCAAATTCCCCTGTCATGTTCATACAGGCTAGGTTTTATGCGAAACAGCCTACCTTTTTATCTGTCTGGTGAAACATTCACCAATGCTGTGAGTAGTCACTTTTGTCTTTCAGTCACCATATAAGGAGAAAGTAGTACCAGTTCTTGGCAAAGAGACACATTCCAAACCCAATGACTTTAGGTTGTTTTCAGGATTTTCAATATCGTCTTTTCAAGTTTTATTACTTCTTTGTGTAACTCCAGAAAAGGCTGCAGCTCTTGCACCCGAAGTGCTTTGAGGAGTGATAGATTGTTGTTGGCACAAGTTGGCAATGGCTGTTTTTGATCGTCTTGCATAAGTACTCCGCATATAAAAGGCCGGGCCTCCATCTTTCGTTATGCCAGGCTATTCCCCATCTGTTAACAGAGCAACAAAGAGAACAGTGAAATTTATGTCTGCTCTTTTTCTACTTCTTCTCCTGTATTTTTTCACCAAAGTGAAACCCTTGTGCAATCCTCTGTGTTTAATTAAAAGGTTATATTTGGTAAGAATGCATTGAAATTGTGTCAGAACTTTTACATGCAGTGCTGTGAAAGGTACTGCCACCTTACAGATTCTTGGGTATTCTTGATTTTTTCTTTCCATAAAGTTGTCGTTTCAGGTAAACAATTTGAATATCTCAGATTATCAACGTAATACAAAAGGGACATTTTCAATTCATTTAAGAAAGGAACAAATCTCTCCAAACATACACTGGATGAAAATCTAATTGTCCCAGTTGCTAAATCAGGATGTAGCTATGATTAACCATATTTTTTGTTTTACTGAGTTCAACTTTAAACAGGATTGATTACTACAAGTGAGTAATTCTGCTCTGTCCTTTACCTAGAGCCTGTCCGACAACAAGGAGTAGGTTAAAAGATTTCACAAAGCAATACATTATGGTCCAATCGAAAGAACAGAAGAACAATCCTTTAAACCTATCAGTATTCCAGTGCACCACAATGAGAGCCATCATCCACAAAATGGTGAAAATGTGGACTCATGGTTAATTGTCATAGGAGAGAAGCCTGTTCACTAAAACAGGAGAGCCTAACCATTTATCGAGTTAGTTAAAAAAGAACCCAGAACAAGATCTGCATGCCTAAATTTTCACAGTACATAAAAAATAAAAAAGAGACATGGGAAAGTTGGTTTCAATAACTTATTTGAATGAAATCATCTTTGGAAAAATGATATTTGTATTTACTTGGGTTATTGTTATCGGATGTTAAGATTAGATCTGAACAATAAGTGTGTAAATGTGTAAAAAACCTCCAAGGGGTTAAGAACTTTTCACAGCACTGTATATACCAGGCAGCTTGTTACATTAGCTTGTTCACCAAAATAAAATTATCTTTAGTAAAATTAACTATATTCTTGTTGCTTTATAGCCTATGTGCAAACATTTCAAATGAACAAATAATGAAAAACAAAATATTTTTACTTCTAAACATTGGTTTAGTTTTATGATTCAGAACACTGACAAGATGATCTATATTTATCTTAACTATATGTTTTTTCCATCAGTGCTGCTGGAATTAACTACCTCAAAACGGCTGTAGACCTTCTTCTCCTTCCTCAGGCTCTCTATCCTCTTCAGCAGCCCTTCCCTCTCCTGGGTGCTGCTTTGTGGTCGCAGAAATCGATTTTTCTTAAAGGGGTTCTGTGTCTCTTGACCTTTGTCCTTGGCACTAATGTCTTTGTCCCCTCCGGTTTCTTCTCGCTCCTGGCGGTTTTTCTGGCTGTTCGCTGAGATTTGTTCCAGAATGACTTTAGTGTCGTCTCGCAGGTTGCTGCTGTACAAAGCAGAGTTTCCTGAGGCCTGGTAGCGGGATGAAGATGATTTCCCAGCCGATTCTTTGTGGTTTGTGGCAGGGAGTTCGGTAGTGACCTTTGCTGAGGAGCCCTTTTTGCTTGAGTCGTCAGCCACCTCCATAACGGTGCTCATGCCCCTGTCTTCTCCTGAGGCTTTCTTCTCTTTATCCTTTGGCCCCAGAAGTCCCTTTAACCTCTGAGTCTGTTTCTTCAGGAATTCAAGTGTCTTGCCATCACCCTTTCCTTCACCAATTGTATTTAGCGAAGTATTAGATCCCATGACTTTGTGCAGTCCTTCTTTAGACTCTTCATGTGGCAGCGTTGAAGAACTGTGAGAGCGACTCTTTTTCATTTCACTCTTCTCAGCATCTGTTGCATCTTTTGTCATAAGGTCATCACCACAAGAGGTGCGACGAGGATTCAGGGACTTAATCTTCAGCTGATCCTTCCTGAATAACTTGGGTGATGGAGGAGGCTTTAGCGCTTTGAAGTCATCTTTCTTTTGACCCTCGGTTTCATTTTCTTTTTTGTGGGGTTGCAATGTCTCTGAAAGCTTCAGGGAACTTCCAAAAGGCTTTGGGGTTATTATTGAAGGCTTTACTGAAGTTCTGCGAGAGAGCTCTGCCACTTTTGAAGAGATGTCTGGCTTCTTGGGTTCTTGTTCTGTCGAAGTGACGTTTACAGACGGGATTTTTGGAGGAGCCACTTCTGGAGGAGTTGTGTCTGGACACAAAGAAACCTTCTCAGAAAGGTCTGGCTTTTTTTCAGCAGGCTCCAAGGCTTTTTGAGATTGCTCCATCTCCATTTTTGAGGCTTTTCTCTTGTTCTCCAGATCTTTAAAATACTGTAGTCTACTAGCTGGGTCATTTACATTTACTGAGGGATTGAGTTTAGTTGTCTCAGCACTGACTGTTTTTTCTTCTTTTTTAGTACTATGGGTTTCCTCTTTTTCCTTAATCTGACTTTTATTTTCTTGTTCCCTTTTTTGTTGTTCTTCCTTCTTCTCATTTTCTTTCTCTTTCTCCTTTACCTTTTCCCCTCTCTCTTCATTTTCTTTCACAATGTCTTTTTCTTCAGCTTTCTTTCGCCACTCAAAAGGCTCACGAGTGAAAGACCTTCTCTTTTCAAGAATCTGGGCCACAATGGAGGAAGTACGTACCGTATCTAACTGGTCATCTTCTTCGGTTGCTGGTTTTAGACCTAGACTACCACTGTGCATCTCTGCTTTGGAAGACGAGAATATAAGCGAGGAGCGCAGACGAGAGCTACGCTGGAGGAGAGGGTTTACGCGAGAGCGGATTGATTCATGCCTGGACAAAAAGATATCTGGAGCTTCCTTAACCTCCAAATCTTCTGCAGTATTCCTAACCAAACCCCTCTCTGACTCCCATTCCCTCCCTCTTTCTATTCTGTCTCTTTTCTCCAAAACAGAAGACCTCAGATCACTGAAAGAGGGAAGCACATCATTGCTTGCTGTTAGGGCAGAGTCTTGATCATTGCTGTCAGGTAATTTTGGCTTTCCAAAGCGGGGTTTCAATATATCTGGTCTGGGCTTGGGGGGCACAGTTGGTGGATCCTTGAATCTAAACCGTGAAGCTAAATTTTCACACGAACCTAGTTGCTCAGCAGGCGG